GGGTCACTCCGTGATTTTCGGAGGGGGAAGTGCTAGTTGGTTTTGTCAAAACTGCTATGAACCATTAGTGTAATCGAAATATCAAAATGAACGTTGACAATGCAATCATTTATGTGATATTTCATTGGTTTTATCTATCGATATGTGATGATTGTGTTTTGTTGGCTGTGATGTCATACTACGAACCTATGTATAACTTAATAAATACTTCGATCTGCTATGATAATCACTCATTAAACCAGTAGCAACCATCCTTTAAGCATCGTTTGTAAACAGGAAAACATCGCAGATGTTCATCGTCGACGCGAACCTGAAAGAATTTCCATTGTAACGACGAATCTTGAGAGTCCGTCTCAAAAGTGAGCATAGCATTCTTAAAAAACAGAAAAAATATAAGGCGCTCGAAGAAAACACTTTGCTCATGTCTTTGTGTGACAACAAATTACATCAACACGTTTGCAGCACTGTAATGAAATTAATTATATGCAACCTAATAGACAATTTATTGCCAATCAAGTATTTCGGTGCCATCAACGTTAATGATGGTGAACATGAGCTTTCAGCTAATTTATATCTGAGTTATAATTACTGGTATTAGTTTGTCGAATATCTTGAAGGGAGCTGGTACCAGTTCGACTTCCCACTGCAAGTTATTTCGAAGGTGCAGCTGAAGAAAATGAAAACTATGAGCAAGCAAGCAGGCAACCTCGTCTTTGAATATCACTTCAGCAACAATAAGCTGAGTTATTCTAGATTATGTTCATTCTACAGAATTCCCTTCAGGTTCAACCGCAGCTCTCACACAGACACGAATGAGTTAATCTGTTCGTTTTACAAACTCAGGAGACAAACTTTGAAATGTTTGACAGATTCACTGTTGTACGCAACCTTATTGGTCGTACTCTCAAGCGCACCTCATATATGATGCTCAAAAGAATTACAGTTTGGTGAATGAGAGTGCCGCATGTCAAGGTGATAAAACGTTGTCTCACTCAGGAACATATTCGGTTATGCGTGCTGACGCCCAATCATGCTGAAATATCTGCGGTCTTCCTGTAGCCAGTTCTTCATTGACCTTGGTAGCTAAAATTTGTTGATACACATTCTGATCCATTTCTTAGAGTCTTCAAAGATGTGCGAGGATAAGTAGCATTTGCCTTCACTGTGTTATTCAGTATAGTGGCCAGCACCGGGAAAAATTCGTTTGAGTGATTCTAGTGACGCCATTAGGAATTGGAGATAACCATACAGCGTTGCTTGTTCAACGATGTGTAAGGGCATAGTTTTAGATTGCAGCATTTCTGTCTGATCCTTATGGAAATTTTTCTTGTCAGGAAAAACTGCAGCATTTTCGACTTCTTCGTGGCTTAATTGGTACTTTTATCACTTACTGAGAGTGACTTTAGATGAGGGTCATTCAAATATAATTTAGTTGACACTGGTCTTGTATCATTTCTCGTCAAATTTTCGACGGGAAGTCGAAACGAGAAGTAATCGCGTAGACGAGATGAAACGAAAAATGATCTAGTCGAAAACAAACGAGACGAGACGAAAGCAGGAACGATCCGAGTAATCTGAGGTGATCAAATGAAACAACCATTATCTGCCTATATGGGCTGTAACTGAATTCAACGCCCTGTAAAGGGGAAAATATGATGCTGAAACATTATGGAAGCAAAACGATAAATTTTAAGTTCATAAAAACAGCCTTAAAGAAAGACCAACGCATTTTATTTCAACGCTCAAAATTGGTATACTGACTTGACCGCTAACATAGAGGTACTCACAAGACAAAAACACGTTGACGTTATAAATGCATAATTATTATACAATGGAAGATTATGTCAATAAACGATCGGAATGTTTCAATCAAACAATCATTTCCTTGAACAGGCTATAAAATCAGTTAAAACGCTCATTCTCTTGAAACTGCCCCGTGACCATTGGGCATCGGACGACGGAAATTAAAATCGAAATTTTGTCAAAAATCAACAATTAATCATATAAATCATTGTACCGAAGAAGTAACAGTAAATCACCAGAAAATCGGTGGAATTTTTGAAAACCAAAGCTATGCTGAAGGGTTAGGCTTTCTCTCGATAACAGTAGAATTTTTGAACCAAATTTTTCGAGCTGAAAAAGCGCGAACGTGCTCTGAAATATGAACGTGTTTCTGACTGTAACCATCATTTTGCCTGAAACATTCCAAGAATCATTTCTTATTGTATTTAGCAAATGTATCGATACCAACAAGTGAACAGTCAACTCTCTAACACCTATACGATGTTCTTGATTCGCCCGTTCCACCATCGAATAATTGAACCTGAGCCTTTGGTGCTTCTGAATTCTCATCGATATCGTTTTCCCTGTAACAGCTCCAAGTAATCTCATTGTCAGCATTTTTAGTGCGAGCGGAGTTTCGCTTCAGCAATCATGTGTCAGATCGATATCTTTCTAGCCGTGCAACTACGGAACTTTTCGTATAAATTAACATGATACAGCCCGAAAGGGTTTGCATTTCCCGACGTCCGTGCGAATGACTGTTTGAAGCCTTACCATCCAAGCGCATTCAGCATCCTACCTGAATCTCAACAAAGCATCAGCAACAAAAATTAGATGAAGTCTATAATTTAACACCTGAAGCAATCCCGATTAACTTTACAATCATAGATTGAAGCCAGCAGCAGTAGCAGCAATATGAAGACCATAATGAATACAGGCACTAGATGATGAAATATTGGTATCTCAGAAGACTGATCAGCATCAAATACCATCGAATTGTTAGTGGTTGTTTGCTCTGAATCCATTAAAGTCGAATTCATCGTTAGTAGCACTCGTGACACTGAAATTTGTTTCAATATTCACTCAGTACCTCGGTGAATATCTGGTGAACCGTTTGTTCGGTCCGGCAATATTTTTTGTGATGACTGCAGAAATATTTTGCAATAGAGTCACATCTGGACTTGTAATGATAATTGGCTCCAGAAGTAGCGACGCGGGTCGAACGAAGCCTTTATAAGCCATCGTCAGCGCCTTATAGTGTTGAGTAATACGCGGTTGGTTTAGTGGAAGGGAATGAGGAGGCAGTTCGAATAACAATCAAATGTTAATAACTGTCTAACTTACTTATGTCTCATCCAGAATTGCCCTAGTAGTCTGATAACATTCAGTTCCTTACTCCTGGAAGTTGTTCAAAGACACCGAATGCACGTATTTTCGACTGTAAACTCAACCTCCTCAATGAATTTCCCCGCGATGACACAAAATTTGAGATTTGCAAATTCGTCGGCTGATGCACCTTCTTTGAACAGTGGACATTATGACAGCCAATAAATCGCATTAATGATGTTTCCTTGTGAGTTATTTTTTGTATAACCCAAGCACACTGACAATTTTATTCCGCTATCAAAATCGCGAGGGATATTTCAATTTCTCCGCATATTTCGCCTTTTTTTCTTCAAGGTGATAATACAAAGTCTTTTGGCGCCGTCGAACTGAAATACCATAGAGGTTGACCTTCCTCATACATGATCACTGATACGGATATACGTTTCAGTTTAAAAATCCAACGCCATCAACAACAGCCTTTTTCATAACGTCTTTTTAGTCAATATTTCACCTTCTAATGGAACAAGATAGCATCAGACGTCGAACGTTTTACCAAAATTCATTTTTTAAACCATCACAAAGGAAATGTAAGGTGCAGATGAAACGCGAAAATGAAAATATATGCACAGAGTGAAGAGATGAACACTCATTTGATCACTGAAACATGCTTACTGTTATCTGGTAAATTTTCGCTGCTAAAAGTTATCCAATTAGTAGACTAATCAACGTTCCTTTAACGTACAATTCTATAACGAAATAAATTTGTGCACCATAGTATGCAAATTCATCATGCTTCTTTACGATGAATATTTTAGGATCATTTACGGCACGATTTCTGTGGGTTTTGATCATCTTTCAGTATTTCTCACATATTATTGTGATNGACACATCTTTTACTTGAATTGATTCAATCGAAAGAAGTGTACTTATTAAAAAGTATTCCTGAAAATGAACTGCCATGTATCTATATTGGAATGCCCAAGTCGAGGTATGAATGAATTACCTAGACAGCTGAGGGAAACGTGTTCTCACGCTTATTCTGATGATCACGTGAAAACTGTTCAACGAAGGGTGCGAACATACTTCATTAACACGTATTTTGTGCGAATCACCGCGTTATCGATTGGGAAATAAGAGCATAAACTAGTTTGCATAAGACCATCTTCTCGCATCATATCGCAGAAAATTATGTGCTTTTTCATGTAATGCAAACGGACAGCATTAATAAAATGAATATTAGCGAAATTAATACTGCTTCATTCAACAGAAAAAAATCGTATTCGATGCCAAGAAGAGGTCGATAAAGTTGTGGAATGTGTCATAAATCACAGAAATCATTTATTCACGTCTGAGAAACACCAAAGGAGCGTTGAACGACGAACGGCATAAGTGACACAGAAAGGTATGTAGTGGATTGGTTAGATGGGAAGGAAACCAGATTGACAGAATGAACTGGTTAACTCATCGTCTATTCGTTTGCAGAGCTCGAATATTTCGCGATGGCCGAAAAAATTTCTCGTCAAACATTCGACATAATCAAATAGGTAAATCTCTTTTAGTGAATCAATTCTTTTTCTTTGTCTAGATCACCACTAATGGTTGTGCTATACTTCGATAATGAAAGGTACAGTAGAGGCTTCGAACTGGCGTCAAGATCATACCAAGGATCTTCCGACTCAAGGAAGGCTGAATTAATGAATTGCTTCTTATGAATGGTGTAAAGGAGGTCTATTAGTTGTTGCATGCAGTAGAATCAAATAATCGTTGTGAACCCACTGAATAGCCCATGTTATAGCAATGGTGGAATTACCAGCATTTTCACTTAATCAATGCAATTAAGGCATCCAAACATGTATAAAGTTGCTGTACTCAAGGTTCAAATTAATATTTTCACGGAATAATTTCCATCACTTCATAATGGATCTAATAAACCCTCCAGTAATCAAATCTCTATTGCTTTGAGCAGTGAGGAGCATAAATTTGAACTCTCTTACGTATGTGCAGTTTTGGTGGGCATCAGCTTATGACAAGTGAGTTTTTGTATCAAATCTTTGATTTCTGTGGAAAAGTGTATTTTGCATGATGAATTTAAATCGCTCACTGTTCTGAACACATGAATGATCTCAAGAAATTTCATTCACACTGCAACAATTTACAATTAAGACTTGTAAGCATCGTTTACTTTGAGTTTCAAAAGCGAAATTGCTGATGAAAGAAATGCTAACTGAATCAGTTTTTGGTTCCTCCTAAAAACCAGTCTTTTCCAAACAACCAAATTTGAAGCCAAATTTGACCAGACGAAGAATTTCGATAGTTATCAATAGTGAACTAAACTAATTAATCAATAGCCAGACGAACCTTTTCGCTCCTATCGATCAAATCTGTTGTCATCAATGTTGAAAAAAAAGCAATAATGGCGATGTTATGACGAACTGATAGCAGTACATCGTCTCATTCGTTCCAACTTCCTACTGTGTTCGTTGATTATCACCAGCAACCATATAACGGAGAGAACATTCTTCCACAAGACTGTCACATACACTATTGAACTCGATAGTGAGGAGAAAAAAGGTGATAAACAGAAAATGAAGGATGCGCTTCAAGCGAATATGAATTAGTGCAAACAATTGCCATATATCTATCGCATTTCCACTTCAGTATTAATCGTTCTAAATTTTTTCACAAGTATGTAAAATCTGAAATCAACAAAAGTTTATAGCTCCGACATCTGATTGTGAGTAAATCACAATCCCGATTATGAATAATGAATGCAAAACTCGTGCTGATAAGTGGGATGTAAACTTATTGTTAGAGATATGGTCATGCGGCTAACACGAATAGAATTGCATGATTCTATTTGCCTGAGAAACCACGCTAAAATAGTGCATTGTGAACGCTGTATACACAAATGGAAGGAATTTTCAGTCCTCAAACGACGTGAATATGTGCGTGCATAAAAACAGTTGTTATTTTCAGTGTTCTTGAAGAGTAAGATATACAATTCAAAAATGTTGTACGATTTGAAGAAAAAAACAGTTGAAAATTAGGCAAATTCACTTTGAAACAATCCAGATCTAATCTTGACTCAATAATCATGCGAATCAATCGATATTTGCTCGAAGCATCAGTATTCATCTGAATGAAGATGAACAATCAGGAGGTTGAGTATTTTATTGCATGCCTCCTGCCGCTGGCCACACATGGAATTCAAAATATACCTTCGGTTAATGTGACCACTTTTGGGTATTTTAACAGGTTGTTAGAACAGTTTCTTTTCTCTCTCGTCAACGACTATTTTTTGCGTTTGTTGTTCGCTATTAAGTGTCGCGTACTTTTTCACTTCGCATCAAGTCAGCCTTGATGACTGATTTCGTTTACATTGGAAAAGATCAGTTGAATTATTCTATCTGTCATTAAGGTATGTAATAATGGCTGATCCATCAAGTAACCTAATTCTTCTGTAAGGATGGCACATCTAAATGATATGCTGCAAAATGGGCCACTGTACAAAGTAGACCTGATCAGTGGTATGTATGCAAAGCTTGGTAACACAAAGTCCACGAGGCAACCTCGTGGACTTCCTTGTAATATTTTGTGTCTGAAGTTTTTTTTCATTTCACAATCTATGATTGCTGATAAACAAAATTGTTCCAGAAACCTATCGGACTCTTGGTGATTGAATTTATAAAAATGAATATTATGATGGTCAAAATATGAAGTTGGTTCTTAGATTTGGTGATACACCTCCACACTTGAAAAAGGTAATGAATAGCGAAGAGTCCGCAATATGATTATTGATTTTTAAAATTATTTAATTATCAACAAGAACCGAAGTCTGTCTCCAAGAAATTCCAATTTCAGTTATTGATTTAGCAATCATAGTGGTGTACGGATACTCTCTAATTCTGTCCAATGATTTCTATTGAGGGGACTTTTGAACGAAGAATGCGTATTAGTGGTGCCTATATTGGTTTTTGGGATGGCAGAATGAATGGGAAGATTATGTTGGTGAATACTATAAGAAATGGATTCACTGCAGCAAAATACTTGCTTCAATCAAACGTAATTGCACGATAAATAGCGTCTCGAGGAAGCACACAAGTTCAATGAATGTGAATTTTATGTGGCAGTTTTACGAGTGCCTCGTAAATAGGACGGATCCCAAAAGAAAGCCGCAATTCTGCGCACCTGTGCATTGTTTTGATAGCAGAGCTGAACAAAATTGAGATTGTGTTGTATTGCCTCCCTTGACACAATCTTGTCATCCACGCATTCCATCTGCAGCATGTCATTCATTTTCTTATAACCACTCGCCCACCTGTTCCTTTCATCTGATCTTTACATTTCCTGATATCTTTGACTACTGGCCTTGAATACAGCTGCATGAAATTTTATATAATTCCTTAGTCCTTTTTATATTCGAATTTCGACACTTTTCTACTTCTGAATTACTCGATCACTTTCTTAGTGCTCAACCATAACCGATTATGAATTTAGTTAACTTGCATAATCGCTTGCATGTCATCAAATAAGATATTTCTGAGCTTGTGATCCTCTAGGATGATAATAAAGTCTCACAACTCTCACAGAATTGAACGTTTTCTATCTCATCCGATTCAGCTTCTCAAATATCTTCGAAAGGCGCACTAGTCTTGAATTGGCACTGAAAAGATTCAGAAAAAAAAACATCAAAATACGCCAGTAATGTTTTGCCGACGAATGTTGATGCAACCAAGAAGTGATGCTGACGAGCAAACGCGTGAATTGATCCTGTAAGTGATCTAACATGGCAAGAGACTTTACTAATTCAGTTCACATCTACGTTTTTTGGCATCGAAGTTCTCGAATATTCATTGGAGTAATTTCAACGGATTTGCGAAGTTCTTGCACTGCATTATTGGTAAACGTTTGGAAAATTGAATCTGGTGCATTGAAGGATTTTAAGAAGTATCCATCATCTCGTGAAAGCTTCCAGAACATTGCAAGACTAGAAATCTAATGATCTAATAAACTTATCCCCATTTTTTGTGTAGGCACTTTCAGGCCTTCTGAGCCACTCGTCTGGTCCACAGACTAGAGGTAGTGTACAACTTACAAGTGCATTGTACCTGTCTATCACGACTCGTATTCCATATTGGTGAAAAAAATACCTGGCTGACAATAATTTCAAGCAAAATTCATTCTTCTTTTATTTTGAAGAGCGTGGAAGCGTACAGTTATCACAAAATAACTAAAGCCAATGCATTCTGAGGAGCTGCTGTGATTTCCTTTAGCTTAATGGCATAATTTGACTTTTACAAACTAATTTTCAACAATCGATGGTTCTTTGAAGAATGAAACTATAAACTATGCATGGAATCCTCTTACGGTATTCATTTTGCTTACAAGATTGAAAACTCATCAACGATGACAAATGGAACAAGTTCATTAAATGTTACGCAAGCAGAAAAATTGAACAAGATTCAAGTGCGAAATGAAGTTTGAGTAGGGCAAAAACAAAAATGCATAAGATAAGTACACACAGGCGAATTATTATTGTCACTCTTAAGTGTTAGACAGGAAGAGCGTGAAAAGATTATAGAACTGAAGATTAATTGTGATCAGATAATGATGGCCGAATCGTCAAATTAAGCGGAGCTGACTTAGAGTCGTTAAAAATGTTCTTTTGGATCTCAAACATGACAACGGACGGATGCAGGGTGTTCAGGATGAATTCTATCAACAGATTTGGAGCGAAAAAGCCATTTGTATCCCGATCCGTTTCATAAATTCTCTGAATACATCATCATTCTGCAACTGTCCAACAACGTGGTGTAATGTATGTTGGGGTTTCAAAATGGTTTCAAGCGTTTACTTTCATTCACAAAATCGATATGATAATCTATGAGGAAACAATCGTGAGACGACTTGAATTGCAACAATAAAGGATGAAACGTAAAGTGTTGATGCGATGACTGATCAGTTGCTCGATGATCAATATAGTATATGTTAATCTTGAAGAAATGAAGCATGCTCAAGAAAATGAATTCAGTCGACAAAATTTCTTCATCGTCGAACACCTTTGATTATGGAGAACATTCAAAGCAAGAAATGGAATCACAGAGCAGCCAGTACTACCTGCAATTCAGTGTAATGAAACGCTCTCCATTTGAAAATGAGCTTTCAAGTGCAGAGAAGCATCCACTTAAACATCATTTTCACATTTTCGTAAAACAAAAGAAGTAAAAACTGTAGGCAGCACCAGATGCAACGATATAATGTGATGCTCGCAGCACTAGTACTGGCATTAAAATGAAAGCCAGAATTATCATCACAAACTTTCAGCTGACAGTTAACCTATCGATGTGGGGAATATTGCCTGCCGAAACCGTCTACAGTTACACAAATTGAACTGAATACCCTAACGAATTTCTCAGTGAATTTCAGTATTTTGAGGTCTAATGTGAAGTTGATGGAACACTTCAGAATGAAAACGCGTTGATCCTCCAGAAATTGCGAACGATGATATTGAAACGATTTCGAGCTATTTTATAAAATGTTCCGAATCATTTTTGAGTCATGAATTATGATCACAATTAATGAGTGAAAGTTAATAATATCTGTAAATTCGGGTCAGAGGATGATTACTGGTGATAGTTCGTCATATGGTATAGCTGAGTTGTCGTTTTATAGCACTCCGAGGATATAATACGGTATATTATGACTACGTCATGTTGACTGTGATAGTTGGAATTTAGGTGTTACGCATCATTTATTGAGGCAATAAATGCAAATGAGCCGTATTGTTGGTAGTGTACAAATTGCGCCTCGTTGCCTGACTGAATCCTTTTCAGCGTTTCGCATAATCGATAGTCTCTTTTTATTGATCATCTCATTTAAATTATTGTGCTTTGATATGATTTTGTTCAGCTGCTGATTCATTTGTTTCGTTTGGACATACGATAGATAGTGAGGCATAAAAGCATTAACGAACTACTTCAAGCCAAGTTCAACAATCTTATTGCGCAAGAGTGCATCTCAAGTTGTTATACAAGTGGTATCTCACCACCGTATTCGTTTTAGGTTATCCTCACCACCATTTCGTCCAAAATTTGTTTCACTTTTTCTGATGTCACAATCTCACGCGATATCTTTTTTTTTTTCGATTACGTTGCCCAGGATTTTGATATTCTTTGCCATGATTATCATTGGGAGCGTCACTGCACAACCCTACAATTGGCTGTGAGTTTTTTACTCTCATAATTTGAATAATTGCAGGTTTCGTGAAATTTTGCAAAGCGGATTTTTCTTCCAATCAAATTTATAGAGCATGATCTATATAGAGAGCTTTATAGAGCATGAAAAATCCTCATGTTTCAATTCTTTATGTTCCAGTTTCATACAAGTTTGTGATTACTAAGTGACCATCTCTATCTCATATCCGATCATCTTAACAAATGTAACAAATGTATCCATCGCTACTGAAAAAACTTTACAAATGTCGAATACATTCGAAGAATTGTGCCACTGAACTGCCCCTTTGGATGCTATCGTTCAAAAGGAACATGCCTATAAATTAGGACGATGTTGCAAAAAATTTTGAGCAACACGATTCCAGAAGATAAGCCAGAATTTTCCGTGACTTCTATAAGAATGTGTGCACTTGTTGAATCAGATGCTTCTTGTCTTGAGAACGAAACCTTTTTCTGTCCCTTCTTAATTCCTCAACACTTTTTCAACATTTTGCTCCACGTTCTTTGCCTCCATTCAGTTGTGTAGTTCAACTGTAGTTAAGCTTTTTTTTCTTTAATTTCAGCGTAATAAGACATGACTTGGGTTCGCATTTGCAGGTCTCCTATTTATATTTTCTCCCTTTTTAGAAGACCAAATTATCTCAGTCGGAAAATTCACTTTCGAATGATGCGTCTTCCCGATCATGAAATTCCCTCTTGATTATGAGATAATGCTCCAAGCTTTGGTTGGAAGTGTCATTTATTTTTTGCGCAAATCACCACAAGCCGTTTTTTGGCAATATATGAGTTAAACGGAGTTTAATATGAAGAGCAAGTTGAGATACGGTAGAAAACAACTTGAATGCCTGGAAGAATTATGATTTGTTCACTATATATCAATGTAGTCAGCACCGGTTTGAGATGGACAGTAGGAATTCAAAGAGAGGAAAGTTACTGGGGTAGGAGGAGGGAAACAGACCATCGACAGAGAGTGCTCATCGAGCAAAAGACGGACGATGTGGTAACAAATAATTCTGTTCAGCTCAACGGCACACACATAAACCATTTGCAGGCGTATAATGTCAGAAAATTCCTCCACAGAACATGTTTTTTTACTCCTCCCAACTTGGGGATCCTTCCAAGTGTTTCTCTGGAACTTAGTACATGGGGTATGGTAGGGGAAGGACCCTGAGAGGAGGACGGTGGTATGAAAAGTTTTGAGGAACACTCGTTTGGATAGTGTGATTACGAGACAGTGCTATGAGTAAAGAAGGTATAGTAATGTAGTGTTCTAAGCATTTGTTGCGGTTCTAATTGAAGCAGTTTATACA